CTGGGAGTGGGGGGAGCCCAGACTGGGACCAGTTTTGGGGTCCTTGAGGGGGTGGAGGGTGGTGGGACCTGATAATGGGACCAGTTCTGGGGTGTCCTGGGGACTGGGAATGGTGGGATCCCAGACTGGGACCAGTTTTGGGGTCCTTGAGGGGGTGGGGGGTGGTGGGACCTGATACTGGGACCAGTTCTGGGGTGTCCTGGGTGCTGGGAGTGGGGGGCCCCCGTTATGGGACCAGTTTTGGGGTCCCCAGGGGGTGGGGAGGGTGGTGGGTCCCCAGACCGGGACCAGTTCTGGGGTGTCCTGGGTGCTGGGAGTGGTGAGATCCCACACTGGGACCAGTTCTGGGGTGTCCTGGGGACTGGGAATGGCGGGATCCCAGACTGGGACCAGTTCTGGGGTCCCACGGCGGGATTTGGACGATGGGGGAGGGGCGCGGGGGGCCAATTTTGGGGGGTCCCGCCAATGGGACGGCCCCTCCCGCCCCTCCCCCCGCAGGAGCCGCGACCCCCGGCTCTACTCGGTGCTCCTGGGGGTGCGGGAGCTGTCGGGGCCCCCCGGGGTGGGCGTGGCCGTGCCCTTGGCCGAGCTCCTCCCCCACCCGGCCTACGCGGGCGAGGCCACGAGCGGGGACATCGCCCTGGGCCGCCTGGCCCGGCCCGTCGCCTTCGGCCCCACCGTGCGCCCCGTCTGCCTCCCCTCCCCCACCCTCACCTTCCCGCCCGGCACCCGCTGCGTCGCCACCGGCTGGGGGGACGTCGGAGAGGGAGGTGAGGGGGCAACTGGGGGCCACTGGGGGGCAGCTGGGGGCAACTGGGGGCGAGGAGGGTCAACTGGGGGCGAGGAGGGTCAACTGGGGGCGATGGAACCCAACTGGGGGCGATGGAACCCAACTGGGGTCAACTGGGGTCAAGGGAGGTCAATGGAGCCCAACTGGGGTCAAGGGAGGTCAATGGGATCCAACTGGGGTCAACTGGGGTCAAGGAGGGTCAACTGGGGGCGATGGAACCCAACTGGGGTCAACTGGGGTCAAGGAGGGTCAAGGGAGGTCAGTGGAGCCCAACTGGGGTCAAGGGAGGGCAATGGGATCCAACTGGGGTCAACTGGGGGCAATGGAACCCAACTGGGGTCAAGGGAGGTCAAGGGGGACCAATCGGGGTCAACGGGGGTCAAGGGGGGTCAGCTGGGGTCAATGGGACCCAACTGGGGTCAAGGGGGGGTCAAGGCCACCCAAGGGGGATCAAGGACACCCAACTGGGGTCAAAAGGGTCAATGGGACCCAAGTGGGCTCAAGGGCACCCAACTGGGGTCAACTGAGGTCAAGGAGGGTCAACTGGGGTCAAGGGAGGTCAAGGGGGACCAATCGGGGTCAACTGGGGTCAAGGGGGGTCAAGGGGGGTCAATGTCACCCAACTGGGGTCAACTGAGGTCAAGGGGGGGGTCAATGGGACCCAACTGGGATCAAGGGGGGTCAAGGCCACCCAAGGGAGTCAACCACAGTCAACGGGACCCAACCACGGTCAACGGGACCCAACTGGGGTCAAGGGGGGTCAAGGCCACCCAAGGGGGGTCAAGGCCACCCAACTGGGGTCAAAAGGGGTCAATGGGACCCAACCGGGGTCAAGGGGGGGGTCAAGGCCACCCA